TATATATATATATTATAGTAAAAAAATTTTTAATTGATATTAACGCAATGTGATATCGACATATATATTTTAACTATGATTTGGATATTTTGTTTTTTTAATTTACATTTTTAGATTCGTTCTATCGAGTAGTACTTTCATTATCTTTATCTCTGTAATCTGTATTATTTATGCCCATACTCGATATTTAATAACATTAAGAATGTTTTAGCTATATTAATAATGGGTGCCTTCCATTAATTAGTAGCACAAGTATCGTTCTATCTTCGTTATTTGTGGAATGCAAAGAAAGTTAACGATATTTGTGTCGACTTGTACGTACATTCACCGACTAAAAGGTTGGGACACTCTTTTTTTAATGGGTTTCGAAATGCAGTCTGCTCACCGAACGATTGGTTCTTACTTATGGATTCGTAAGTAAAAACCAATCGCTCGATAATTAGACTGCACTCCGAAAACCATAGAAAAAAATCTGTTGCAACCTTTTAGTCGATGAGTGTACATTACTATAAATGGAAGGCATTTAATTAATATTATCTCACGTAGCATAGCGCAGTATCTGTGAAACAAATTCAAAAATTTGCTTATGCGAATGACGTAATATTACTTGTTCATTAAATTTGCAAATGAGTACTACAAAAAACGATTGTGCATAAAAATCAAGACAATAAAAAAAATTAAACAACTTTTAAACCAATGAAAATTGTGCCAAATTTTACGCAAAAATAAAACATTCATAGGAACTTTTCAGCAGAGGCACAAAGGCTAATTCTACAATGTGCTTTTTGTTTCCTGTTTCTTTGTGTCTGTCTCTTTTTGATCAAGAAAGCAAGAGACAAACAGCAAGAAACAGGAAACAAAAAGCACATAATTGTAGAATTAGCCAAATTGACACCAGAGTTATTATGTTATTATTATTAGTTATTATTATATACCATGTTTTTATTTCTTATTGATTATTGAACAAGGATGACACAGGATGACTTGTGTCAATTAGAGCTCTAGTGTCAATTTGTGTATCTTTTTTACTAGAAAGCTCCTTATGTAATTTTTATTTTTTTGGTAATTTGTATGTGTGTTTTTTGAAATGTGACACATAAATCCTTAAAAAAAATAGTCCTGCTATACAATATATCTATACTGCAATGCTGATTTTTATACACAACTAGAGTATCGACTGTATCGAGTGTAGAAAGTGTATCGTACCCTGTACTGTGGTGTACTACGTGTAGTAGTAGGGAAAAAAGAAAGTGTAGAGAGACTCGCGTACGTCTTCCGATGATATATTATGAAATTTTCGTGCGAGACTGTGAAAAAATTGCGATCTTCCGTGATCGAGGTGCGCCGCTGCAGACCCTTTAACGCGAGACAATTCGCCTTTTTGTCTCTCATCCTCACCGAGATAAATAACGGTAAGATAGGTTAATGTACACCAGATATCGCATTCGCGTAATATTATATATCTCAATAAGTCAATTTTTTCGCAAATGCTGTTTATGGAAATACTGTGTCGATAAAATCGTTGAAATCGTCTGTTTACGTTCAACATATGACGTCTACATATACACTGTGTTCGCAAAATATCGCAGAGATCTTTTAACCGCGAGCTGTGGGCTGATGTGAGAGCTATGCGTTTCCAGGAAGGATCGTCTGATTTTAATTAAAACGTAATAAATAGAGCGTTGATTTTCACCAGTTTATAATTTTTGTTACTAACTGTGTGCAACCTTTTACTATCAGAGACGCTCACCTTATGTATGACCACCCGGTATACTCCATCGTGTACGCCTACCAGTATCTGCTATCAAACATATTCGTTGTTCCGTGAATAACGTACCAATAATTACACTACACTACTTATTTCGATTGTGTAACAATGTCCATTTTATTATTTGTAAGAATTTTTTAATGTAAGTTTTTTTATGTTTCTAATTAATTAAAATAAAATGTATAAATAATCTACTTGTGTCTGTCAACAGTCACAGTTTTTGAGCTTGCAGATGTCATTCTTAAAATCATTTCTGTAGGATAGAATTTGCTTGAGTTTGGAGATATGTAGTAATTAGCGATGTCGCAACTGAGAGAATTGCAACTTTTTTCACTTATATTTATACAAAAATTTTTCTAATATATCGTAATCTATGTTCATATTTCAAATATGTGTCATTTTAACTCCAATTCTAATCAAAATATTTTTGTAACGAAACTCTTGCCTGATTTCTTATAGTCGAAACTGAATTTCCCAACATAAATTATTTTTTTCTTACGCTCTAAAACTTTTGAAGTGGAATCTCATTCTTAAAGATTGAAAATTGAGCCACTCTTTTTCAAGATATTAAATTTTCACTCTTTAAAGTGAGATTCCACTCCAAAGAATTTAGAAAGTAGGTTCATGACGTACGATTTTTGAAGTAACTGATTGTAAGTTAATATTATTTTAAAGTTCTGAAGTTTATCTATTTTGCATTGTTTAACATCGTTTTGTGATGCTGAATGGAATTTCTGCACATTCCACACGACTTTAATTTTCTAATTATATAATTAAGAAATGTCATAATTGATTCAAGTATGGCGAATGAAAATTCTCATATCATAGTAAAAGTTAAAAGAGAAACGATGATTAACGTTTGTTTATTGCTTTCAGACCTATAGTTCCCGTAAAAATGGCGCGATCCTATAAAAAAGTTATGATCATCTCAATCGTCGGTTTAATAATCATGGTTCTTGGCATCATCGCAGGATCACTTTGGATCACTATGCTATACGAATTGCTATTTACAAAGGTATATTCAAAGAGTAGAAAAACTTTACATCGATATATTTATGTTAAAGATTATGTGTAATATATATACATTTCTGTATGCAGCTAATGACGTTAACGAAAACATCTTTCAATTTCGATATGTGGGTGGAAACTCCTGTTCCAATGTACTTGAAATTCTACATGTTTAATTGGACTAATCCACATGAGTTTTCGTCAGGTGTAAAACCACATTTTCAGGAAATGGGGCCTTACGTTTTTCGGTAACATTATTTTCATAAAAGTTCTATTACTCTAATGTCTGTTTCCACCAATGTAGATTAACTTTAATCTCGATTTAACTTACTCTTCGTTTTTTTCTAGTTCTAAAGATTAGAAAAAGACGAAGAGTAAGTTGAACCGAGATTAAAGTTAATCTACATTAATAGAATGGGCATAAAAATCATGTTATATCAGATTTTTATGTATCTCTTTTGCAGAGAAATCGATTACAAAGTGAATCGAGTATGGAATGATGAAAATGGAACCGTCACATTTCAAAGGAGGAAAGTTTGGTTCTTTGAGCAATCTATGTCGAATGGAAATCTAACCGACCAAGTTACAAACATAAATCCGATAATTGCGGTAAGGCGAAATTATTTGACGATCAATTACACACTTTTTTACATTGTATATTCAGTTGTTATATTAATTATTATATTGTGTATCCAATTTTAGACAGTTGCAACTACGATGAAAGATAAGTCTATGTTTATACGCATGGTAGTCAATGCAGCTATGGTGCGCTTAGGGGAGAAGTTAATATTAACTAAAAGTGTGAAGACGTTGATATTTGAAGGATTCAACGACACATTGTTGGAACTTGTACGAAAGATGAATGTGACCGATTTACCTTATTCTAAATTTGCATGGTTCTACGGGGTGAGTACAACGAATCGAACGTGCATCAAGCAATGATCTCATGATGTAAAAATAATTTCTTTTTTTCTCACAGAGAAACGGCTCGGATACTTACGACGGCGTATTCAATATGTTAACTGGAACAAATAATTTGTACGGTATGGGAATGTTAAAAGAATGGAATTACAGTAATCGGACAAATGATTATACGGGTTCTTGTAATATGATACATGGAACGTTAGGAGATTTTTGGCCACCTTTAGCAGACAATTACACGATACCTATATTCGTTCCTGATATTTGCACGTGAGTGGTTATAAAAACATTATCATTTAAGTTAATATGAAAATTTACACTTAATTATATTACAATAAATGAAGCTTCAATTTAAATATTAAACCATCCATTTGCTGTTAACTCCCATTGTTAGTTTTTATTACCGAGAGAATATATCTTCGGCTTATTTTTTTAAGACTTCTTATTTATACAGGTTATTCATATACATAAATATATAAATGTAAATTGACACAAAGTTAATTTTAATTCTTTCAATTCAAAACCAACCTCAAATGGAAAGATAATGAATTAAAATCTACTCATTATTTAGATATGTGGATTTGGAATTCGTAGAAACAATGAAACTTGAAGGTATAACAGGAAATAAGTATATTGGGACAAAAAATATGCTTGATAATGGTGAATCTGTACCTTCAAGACGATGTTTTTGTCCCAATGGAAATTGTGGACCCAGCGGAACATTAAATATTTCATCTTGCAAATTTGGAGCGCCGGCTTTTGTTAGCATGCCACACTTTTATCTAGCCGATCCAAGTTATACAGAGAACATAACAGGAATGTCACCAGATAAACAAAAACACGAATTGGTGATTGTTCTGGAACCAGTAAGTATCTTGCATAAATTATAAATGCTACAAACAGAAAGTATGCAACGAATATTATACGAAAAAAATTTTAAAGACTTCAGGTGTCCCACTTATGGTTAAGGCGCAACTGCAGTTAAACTTATTGCTGGAACCAGTGGATGGTATGAGGTAAGTAGTAGACGAGCACAGCACAGATAATCATTAACAAAATAAAAACTTCACAAGGAGAAAACGAAAAGAGAAATTGTTTAGATCATGAAAATAAAAAAAAAGAAATTCTTGGACTAACAAAATAATTTTATTTAATAGAATATGCAAAGCGTCGAAATGTTCTATTTAAAATATCGATTTCCATTAATACTTCACAATAGAAACTAAACTGAGTAATTAAAAAAGTTTAAACTTTCAAAAAAGGTGTTGTAATAAATATGTTAAGGACTATTTCAATGCGTTATAACCTTTTTAATTTGATAACAGACAAGAAAACGTTTTGTTCAATTAATTTTCGATATTTCAGTATGTTTAAGAATATGCAGAAGACTTACATCCCAATGCTGTGGTTTACTCAAGAGGCTAATCTAACTGCCGAATACTCAGGCAACGTTGAGCTACTTTTAATTCTTCCATCATTAGGTTCTGTAACCTTTTTTGGAATCGCAGGAATCGGAGTTCTAATATTCTTCATCGGAATCTTCATTTATATACGACAGAGATGGCGAGGAGAGGAAGGTCAAGTATTGATATCTAAATACGATGGCGATGTTAGAACACGAGACGAAATGTAGTAATTATTTCCTTTTATGAGCGTGATTGTTACAAGTCGGACGCCGAGATTTAAATTTATTTTATTATGCGTTCGCATTACTTCTTGTATATGTCATAACTAAAACGTTAGAAGTTCTGTTTATGCTATTCATCACTAATTTGTGAGATATATCAACACGACGAAATTTATGTGGATTGACAATTTTCTATGCAATGTGGAATTTACGTCGATAAAAATATTGCATGACTTTACGTTGCTATCAAAAATTGGTAAAAGTTACCGATTAGGGGACCCCCCCCCCCCCC